ATGGCCACCTGTGGCTCCCCCAGCCACAACACCGCACTTGCTTCATCCTCAGAGCAACAGAGCTGGCCCTCAAGGCTCAGAGCTGCAGCGCAACCATTCTTCCCCCAGCAGGTCCCGGCCCACAGCAGGAACAGACACACGGGCCGGCACATTTCTAGGCAGTGAGGTTTTAGAAGGAATGCTTCTTCTTTTGCAAGTCTCCCATCCACACCTGAGGGGTCATGTAAGGAGAACACGGCCGGGGGATACCAAGAGCAATCTCTTCTCCACATCGGGCACAATAATTTTCCCCCAAGGCGTCCTACTCCCCATTTATCCCCTTTCTCTGGCAATGACATAACCCTGTCTCCCTAACTCCTCAGGGTCAGCCCCAAGAAGGGAGAGGGATGCTGGAAAGGTAAGACAATCAGCATTTTGCTCTGAGGATTTTGTTTTTCTTTCAGGCAAAATGTTTTCCAGTTTCACTTATAATTGCTAATAAAGAGGGACACACCTTCAGCTGAAGAAGGGAAAATGGCGTCTGGTAGTTAAGGCAGCCAGAGCCCAGGAGAAAACAGGGGCTGGGCTGCTCTCACGGCCGAGGGTGATTTCAGCTCCTTCGGGCTGCAGCCTCCAACAAGGCCGAGCTGCCCAAGAGGTGGCTGACGCCAGGGGAGCAGGACCATCCTCCCGAGCTCAGCCCCAGGCTCTGGCAAGGCAGCAAGGAAAACCCTCAATTTCGCCCACCTCATCCCCTTCTCCCCCTTCAATCTGTATCCACCCACCAGTCATCCATGAGCCACCCACCCACGGGTTTGCTTGGTGGACGTGCAGATCTCACTTGAGGCTTCCTGCTGGAGGCAGGAGCAGTTTCTTCCCCTCTACCCTCCCCTCAACTACCTTGAGGACTCTCCCCCACTGACCACCCCTGCTTCTTGCCTTCCTCCCCCAAGTGAGGGAAGGGAAGCCTCCTTCCCTGTCACTACCACACCTGTCCAGAGCCACCATATGATGCTGGATACACACATATCCAGCAAACACAGCCACACCACACAAAGAGGCACGCAGCCTCCTGCTTGAACCACACGCACAGTGTTGACAATCCTATGTTGTCCAATTGGAGGCACACCAGTGCTTGACAAAACACAAACACCCTTCCAGTCCCCACCCGTAAACCAACACAAAGGCCACCAAGAATTTCAAGACCCAGCATCATCTGTAGAGAGGAGAGCTGGATCGGACAAAGACATTGTTCCATCCTCCCAAGTAACCATCACAACTCTCTGGGATATTCTGCAGTGCCCTCTGGTTTGACACAGCCCACTGATCAGAGCTGTGCTAGTTGGTGTGTGTGAGAGAGCGTACACATGTGTACGGGGGAGGGGGCTGTGGCTCTACTGTCCAGGCATCAAATCTCCCCGGAGGTAACCCAGTCAGACTCTGCCTCCCCCACATAACCTTCCTCCAATGTACCGCAAACATATATTTCATGGATGGTTAAATTGGATCATTATCACTGGGTGCTTATTTGGTCAAAAAAAATTATTAATGTCATCTACCCCCATTCCAATCCCCTGCTTGTGAGGTCCCCTGCCACAAAGACTCTCCAACATGCTAATCCCATGAACTGCGACACACGACAGCTTTAGGGAAAGAATAATGGCGAGAAGAAAGAAGACTGTGGTGGCGGAGAGGAAAAGAGGCTCTAACGTGACCGCAGTCCCCATGCAAAGATGAGGGGAAGGAGCCACGGTGGAGGTAGAGTGGGGAAAGAGGCTAAGGGGAATGAAACCAAGCAAAATGAAGCCCTCAGCGCCTGTGTATGTGACAGAGAATGTGTGTGCAAGAGCGTGTGCCAGTGTGTGTGTGGATGTGCCGACTTTGCCCTCCTATCAGAAGGCTGCATCCGTGTGGCATGTAGGAAAGGCCATCGCACCACTGTTGTGTTGCAAAAAAAAAGAAAAGAAAAAAAAGCAAAGAAAAAGGGAAAAAAGAGCCGCAGAGCCATCAGTATCAGAATTTTTTCATGAAGATGGAAAGGGCTGGAGGAAGAGGGGGGTGCGCCTAGGGTAGGGAGAGCAGTATGTGGAAATACAAGGCAAGATCATGGCAGAATTGGGGGAGGATGGAGGGGGAAATTGGTGGTGGGGTGAAAAAATTTCACACACACACACAGAGACACAAACACACACAATACCCAAACGCCAACCCGCCCGCTCCACTGTCCATCCAAGACTGACAACCCGTCCCCCATCTCTCCGCTGCCTCTCCGTGCCCCCAAAGCTGGTGCTGATGGATTTCTGTATCTCGGTTTTGCAGCAGTGGGCTAATTACAACCAAGCCCCCTTACCAAATTAACCCCTCCCTTCCCTCTCTCTTTTTTTCTCTAAAAGGCCAATTGAAGAATAATGTGTTTTTATAGATAATGGATTTTTTTTTCAGGAGCGAGAGAAAGGGGGGTGCAGAATAGAAATTCTGCAAACCGGTGACTTCCGACCTCACCTCCGTCTCCCCTCACGTCCCCGTTTGCTGTAGCATCTCATCTACCGTTCTCCCACCATTCCCTCGTCCCCTACCACCCAAAAGAAAAGACCTTCCTACCATGCACATCGACAAACACACCAACCGCCACCCAATCTCAGTAGCCGATCTCAAAACCCCAAGCATCAGTCCACCTCGATACATCCTTTCCCTTATATAAGCAGCAAATCATCAACATAGTCAGGAGAAACGCAGCACTAAAATGAAATCAACAAAAACGGAGGCCAGAGCCCCGTCAAATCCCCAATAATTAATAATAGGGAACTACCAGAGAAGCAAAGACGTAGTTGTCTCTCAAAATCTAGAATCCCTTTAATTTCTGCCCCCTCCTCTTCTCAAGAAGCAATTTTTTTAAATTATCATTTCACTAGAAAGGGCTGGAAAGCTCCAGAAAAGGGCATTCGCACAGTCCGGTTGTTTTTAAAAAATAAACCCAGCCCTGTTGCTCACTTTAATAGCGAACTTCCAGTGTCCAGCCTTTTCCCCCTCTTCCAGAAGGAAGACTGACTCGCAGGATGAACCCCAGGCTGCAGAAAATGGGCCAAGAGCCCTTACTCCACTCCCCAATAACAAAAAAAAAAAAAAAAAAATCAAACAATAGGAATATCTGCACAACCAGCACCCTTCTGAAATATCGTTTGCCCCATATGACTTAGGCAGATTAAGCCCGAAGATTAAAAAATAAATACCAGCCTTGCCTCCTCTCACTCCCCTCCATCCTTCCGCCACATACCCAGTAGCCCTTAGGTAAACTTGCCCATCATAACCAGCGGGACCATTTTAACTTGAAAGGCGACGCAGAAGCCCTTGAACGATGAAGGAAGGCTCTACCCAGAACGGCAAATTAATAAAGAGCTAGTTCTCCAGGCTCCCCAGACTAACCTCCAGGTGCCCCCAGATAGACTATCCTGGGTACCAAGTCACCCAGTGTGCTGGGAGTTCAAATTTCCACTGGAACCTTCATCACAAAGGCAAACGGTCATCTGACCCCCAAAACTACACTGTCCTCCAGGTGTGACAAGGAGTGTCCCCTCTCCCTCCCAGGGCCATCCACAGGACCCAGCAGAGAGAAAGAAAGAAGAATGTTGGGGTGGCTTGTAGTGGTAAAAGAAAAACTATCTCCCCAAAGCGGGAACCGAAGGAAGCGGGGAGAAGACAGCTCTTGTCCTACCAGCTCTCTTATTTGCCCTGACTCTGTCTTGCTCCATCCTAAGCTAGCTCTCAATGATCTCTGACCTTTGCATTAGAAAGAAAGTATTAAAAATAAAGATCAGAAAAAGAGGAACCCTACTTTACCTAAACCCCAATAATGGTTAGCAAAAATATGATGTTCTCATTGCATGATGATATTTCTATACCCAAATTAAAAGAGGCAGGCATTTAATGGAGGAAGGGAAAATTTTATTTTTTTTAACAAGTAATCACAGGGTAAGTCACCTGCAAAGCAGTCGAGCCCTTAGGTTGGTATTACATCACTGGCCTAAGAAGGGATGGGGGGTGGGGGGACACATTTTTTTCCTTGTCATCAGGCTGATGTTTCTAAAGCAGTTAAGTTTTGTGGTTAAAAAAGAAAGAAGGAAAGAGCTGAAACTCTGGGTACAGCACAATGCCTGGAAAAAACAATACATCGAACCAGGCTTTAAGGTCACTGAGAGCTTGCAAAACCCACAGTGCTTACACAGAGTGGAAGTTTTCAGGCAAGCCTGCTACTAAATCATTAATATAAACAAATGGAAGGCAGTGGAGGACGATTCCCTTGTAACCGATCCAAACAGGAGCACACACCCGCACACACACACACACACTCACACACACACTCCCTTTTCACCTTCTCCAAGTATGCCCACTTTCATAAGACAGGAGTCCAACCTGAATTTTTAGACTCTAGAACCACCTCCTCACACCCCCTCAAAAAAAAAAAGCACACACTCTCACATACACCTCAGTTCCTCAACAGCTAGGGAAATCCCTGTCTCCATTCAGTTTTGTTTTCTTGTGATACTCAGAGTGTCCCTTCTGTTTCTCATTTTAACCAGCCCAAATAAATAAATGAATAAATGAGGGGGGAAGTGGTTACAAAATGTCAAAAAAAAAGTAGCTGCCCAAAATGAAGTGATGAGCACACATCATTTCAGACTAACAATTCAAGCAAATAGGAGAAATACTCAAAAAAAAAAAAAAAAAGAAGAAGAAGAAGAAGATAAAAATCTAAAACATTCTCTGACTTTTCCAACATCTGGAGGAAAAGGACCCAACTTCCAGGCGAAACTGAAGGAAAAGAAAGGCAGTTGAAAAGCCATTTCCACAGTCAGCCAAGGCTCACGGATACAGCATTCAAAAAAAAAAAAAAAAAAAAAAATCTAGGTTGGTCGCTCCCAACTGAAAACTTCTACCCTCTCAGGAGCAACCTCTTCCCAGAACGGACAAGAACCTTGAGTTGTTTCATACCCTGACTGCCTTCTTTTCCCCGCAAACCTTACCTTTCCAGTTGAACAGAAGATTTGGGATCTGTCTGTATGTCTGTTTGATGTTTAATCAACTGAGTTTGCCGGGTTTGTTTCCTCTTTGGGGAGGTTCAAATTCCAGAATCTTTCTCTCTCCTTTTCCTCTCTCTCTGGGAGGGAGTGGCAGGGAAGAAGGGAGGGGTTGTTGGAGGTGCGAAGCGCAGGTCCTTGGTGGCTGGAGATGCCGAGGCTGAGAGAGGGGAGGACAGGTTACCTCTCTCTCCCAGCGAGTTGCATGCAAGAGGCGATGTGTAGGGCTGAGCGCTGAGCCTGAGACTGCCGGAGGAGCCCAGGAATTTCACGCACTCCAGAGCCGGCCCCTCCCTCTCCCACACAGACCCCAGCATTTAAAGAGACAGTCAGGCCGCCTGGCTCAGGGCTTCACCTCCTCCCTGACTGTTTTGCAAACAGCTGAGAAGATATCATCAGGGAGGGGCAGTCTGTAGCCCCCACAACTAAGAAGCAGTGTCTGAGCTCAGTCCTCTTCTTACTCCAGCCTGAGAGTAGAGTTCTTCCCTAGAACTGGAGCAGGAATTAATATAAAGACAAAATTCTCATTTACAGTTTCAGCAGACCAAACCACTTCCCACTGCTGAGGATGTGTGTGTCTCCTTGCAGACTGAGGGACTCTAACCTACAAGTGTGCCTCGGTTTCCCTGAGTAGTTGCTCTTCCTTGCAAAATCAGGGCAATCCTTGAGCATCTAGTGGAGGTCAGGGCTGTAACTAGGACACAAATCTATTCCTTCAACAAGCATTTTGAATGCCTGCTTAGGATGAGGCATAGTGCAAGGGGCTGGGAACATAAAAATTAAAGTGACAAATGGGGCTTCCTCTCTCAGAGCCCCTAGCAGCAAAGACAGACCCAGGCACAGCCCATCCTATACTAAGGGGCTGCCAGCTAAGAGTCAGAGGCCCGAATCAAGTGTTTTGGTGACTCAGGAAGATGGCTCTGTTTTGTGGCTTGCACTCTGAGCTCTGAGCCTAGACAATTCCACTGCACCCCTAAACCCTTGAAAATCCACTGCCAGCCTTGACAAACTAGTTCATGTCTGTGGAAACGTTTCCCCAGTCAAACCTAAACGAGAGATGACAGTCGGTGGCACCTAATACCAAGGTTTTGCTCAGCATCAGGCCCTGGTACCTCTTGTGAAAATGCAGCCCCAAACTCCTTTCTTCTCCAGCTCCCTTTTTAAGGGCTGCACTGGCATGCCTTCCCTTGGACCAGCACCAATCCACTAATAGCCGTCGAGCACTTACCATATGCCATCACGTGGTTCATCTCCTTCAGTCCCGCAAGGTTTGTGCTGTTTGACAGTTGCAGTCCATTTCACAGTCTTAAAAATTGATGCTTTAGAGAGGTTGCCCAAGGTCACACAGCTGGAAGCTGCTGAGAATGAATTTGAACTCAAGTCTATCCAACTCCAGAGCCTGCCTGCTCAGCCACAGTACTCTATTGCCTCCTGGCCAAGGCTGGTAGTTCTTATATTTCTGACTTTTACTGGACGTCCTTGCAGCATCCTAGCACTTTCCCGACCCGGCAAACTTTAATAGCACATGTACCCGGCATCATGCTCATAAGAAATAAAATGAATCTACCAAGGTCTGAACCCCAAGGACTCCAGTAAGCATTGGAGGAGGACAGAAATGTGTTTCTATAAAACAAGGGGAAAATAATCATGAGAGCAATGTAAAGGAAAGTCTATGGGACTCTTGATAAACAAGTGATTAATTTTGATTTGGAGGTGGGGGATATCAAGGCAAGCTTGGTGGACTAAAGTGGCGTCTGGGCTGGGACTAGACAGACACATGTACTTCCATCATTACTAGCCTACTTTTCAGTCTGTTTTACCTTTCAGATCACAATCTCATTTTCTTATGTGTCTTTGGGTCTCCAACCTTCAACACCTCCACAGTATCCAGCAGTTTTAGGAATACAAACAAACATGCCTTCATGGATTACTTTTATATGACATCTGATCTCCCACCTATTTACTCTAGCCCTGAACTTCCCTGGCCAGCGGTTCCATATCCTCCTTACCTGGCCTTCCTGGAAGGCTCTGCACCAAATTTGTCCACAGAATGTGGAAGGGAAGTTCAGAAGGCACAGTGCATGGGATTGCCCTAGATGTCAGGAGTTCCTGGGGGAAGAATCATGTAAAGGAGCCGCCATAATGCAGCAGGACATCAGGAACAGCCAGGGAAACTGTACACTCATTTTGGGGGCAGCAGGAAGAGACCTGAAGGACCTAAGGGATGAGAGGGCAGAAGCCTCAAGGGAGAGCCTGAGGACTCAGTGCCCTGCAGATGTCAGTGCCCATGGGATTCCTGTGGCAAACACCAGCCTAGGAAGGACATCCCTGTGAGAAGTGTATCTGCAGAACAGCCTAGAGGTTAAGGGACATACCTGGATTCCAATCCCATCTGGGCCACCTAAATTCCTTGTGATTTGAATAACTGTCTTCACCCTCTCCAAGTCTTAGCATCCTCGCCTGTAAAATGGAGGTCACCTGTACTTACTTCATAGAGTTGTTCTGAGAAACAACTAATAAAATACTCGTAGGACGCCTGCCCCACAGAAGTACTCAACAGATGTTCACTACCCCAGCCCACAGGTCTGCATTTGCCCCTGCATGGGATTACTAACTGTGGACTGCCCCCTATAGTTGGCATTCCTTTATTTCAAGTTATTATATCTCTTTTAATAATTTAGCTTATTATTTACGGTATCACTGTAGTCACTATTATTTACTTCTTTTTACCCCCTTTGATTTCTAACCTACTTTAACTTGTATATTTTGAATATATTTTTATTATCATTTTATTCTGTTTTGTACTTTCTTAGGCTTTTTAAATGTTATTTATCTTTCAATTACTCCAGAGTATTCTTTTAGTGTGCCTTTTATCATGAAATCTGTGAGCTCATTTTGTCTCATTCCTCCATACCATTTTAGTTAACTACCACTCGGCTCATTCTAGTGATCCAGCATTCCCCAGATAGCTCCAAATTTGTGAAGATGGTTATGTACAAAATAGCAGGGAAAGACAACATCAAAGAGAATAAGACGGGTCTCCTTGCAGACACGTAATGCAACCATAAGCAAAAAGCAATATCAGGTGTTTACCCAAATGATGGTGCCATGTCAGCAATAGTACTAATTTTTATTTTTTAAGGGAGGACTCAATGGGTACAACTGAAGCCCTCAGAGACTCTAGGCCTTCTCAGCTCTCATCTCTGTCCTGGGATAAGGAGGGCCATGATCAGAGGTCATTAAGTTAGAAGGTTCCCTCGCAGGCCTACCTTCCTTCCTTTGATTCGATTGTGGGGCCCCATCTTCACTCAGTTCAGGGACAGAACAGACCAGGGACTGTTTCAGCTTTTCTCAAATGTGCGAGACCAGTGCTTTCAGCATGTAGCAAGAAAAAATTTCACTACCAATCAAAAGGATACATTGCCCATGGTATTCTGAAAGAAAAGTTACTACAGTGATAATAACAATAATAATAACAACTACCACAAGTTTCCCCCTGCCAACCCTCTACTTAGAAGCATTGTGGTTAAGATCCCAAGGCTCTGCAAACAGGACATCTGGGTTCAAATCCCAGCTCCACCATTTTTTGGCCATGACACCTCAGCCAAATTTCTAACATCTCGAGCCTCCACTTTCTCATCTATAAAACGGGAATGATAATGGTATCAAATGGTTCCTGTGAGAATTGTATCAAAAGCACCGACAATAGTAAATGGCACGTGGGAAGTCCACAATGGAGAGTATTGGTCATTATTATCAGAGTGGAATTTAAAATATTTAATATCTAAGATGGTCCAGTCAGCAACCAATCAGATTGGAAGGTGACCAACAGCAACTGGTTTGGCCTGACCAAGGCATACCAGCTACCAGCCTTGATTATTAGGCCTTTTACCACCTGCCAGGTACTAAGTTAGGCATTTGGCATGCACTAATGCATTATCTCATTTAATCCTCACAGCAGCTTGGTTTTATTATGTTATGTATTGAAATACATGCAATTGCACATTTATAAATAAGACTATGCCTATAAAATCAGAATTCTGCATAAAAGACTTGGCATATCCATTCCTGCCACCCTAATGACTCTTAGCATGTGAATTCCAAGGGTTGCTTTTTCTGGGACATTTTTAGCCTCATTACATAGGTTCCTTCTTTTACTTACTCATTCTTTCAATAACGTTTGGGGGAAAAAAATTACAGTCCATGGCTCAGTTTCCCCATCCATTAAATGAGTGTTTCTGTCTAAATTCCCACTACTTGACCCCGACCAAACCTGGGAGCATCAGTCTTCTCCAGCTAAGACCAAGTCACTAGAAATCAGGCATTAGAGAGTTCTTCTAATCCCTCAGCTAGCACTTCAATTGAGTCAAACCCTCCAGGCTCCCAACCTGCCCCATAAGCTTGGATTTTTAGTCACTAAAGTCCACACATGCCTTATCCCTAAGCAGGTTTCAAATTCAGCCCCCAGTGCTATCGGGCCAAAGCATTTTGCCTAAGGCCCCTTCAAATGTTCTTTGTGCTCTTCTCTCCTCTCCCCCCCTAAGAGCTGTGCTGCGATGCTGGCCTGCTGGAGTTTATTTGGCTTTCTGTCACCTATTGGATGATGATTTTAGTGTTATTAATAGGTGACTGCTTATTAAGTAGTATTATTAGACATGTGCCGTGCAGCGCAGACAGTACCACAGAGGGGCCTGGCATCCTCCAAGGAGAAGACTTGTACAAAAAGACTTGTCCCTGGGGCCCAGTAAAAGGACACAGGCCCAGCAGTGAGTCACAGGAAGCCAACAGCAGTGCTTCCCAAATTCTAAAAGCCAGGCACCTAATCCAGCAACTGTGTCTGCCACGGGAAGGAGGGAGAAACAAATGTGAGATTTACAGGCATGTGAGAACACAAGCCCAAAGAGAAGCCTGAGCACTTAGGCCTTGAGGAGGTCACCTCCCATGAAATGTTTCTCCCTCCAGGCATCCCTTCCACCAGGGTATCTGGTGCTCCCAAAGAGGCTACAGGAAAGGCTAGCTCCTGGAAAGACCAAGGGTCTCCAACTTCCAACTCCAATGGGGAACTCCCTACCTTCTTGTTCCTATCTTGCTTATTCCATGGGAATAAAATCATCTCAGGGTTTCACAGCCAGTAGAAGCCTCCCAGCCAACTCCCTGAATTCAGCAGCCTTTTGCCAGCCCTCTGCGCAGGACTACCAACTCCAGCCTTGGGGAGAGCCAGGCTAGGAGGTAGAATGCCTGCCCTGTGGCTGCATCCTTCTCCCTGAG